ACTATCTTAAATTTGTCTAACCGTGATGCAATTAAAAATACATAAAGTGCAAATTTGTACATTGAGCATATAAAGTACCACTCAGTGAAATGAGTAAACATAAAGTACCAGTGAAATTCAAAACGTTATATACTTAAACAACTTTCTCAATTAATATGTGAATATCTAATCTCTCTCTCTAATGTCTAAAAAAAAAACATATACACAGTTTGTAACTATATTAATGTCCCCTACCATCACCATGTGAGGGTATGATTTACTTACCTTGCAGTCCTCACCGCGCCAGTCTTTTTCTTGCCACTCTGCCTTTTTGGCTGAGATCATCAGGGTAGATGATTTCAGACAATCACATTTTTCCCCATAGGGAAACATTTGGGGGCAAGTGCGCATGTGCAGCTGTAATAGAACCAGATGATTTAACACTTTTGTTCCCCATTATTTTCATCATATGTTCCTTGATTGCTATATGATTATACATTTCCCAAACACAGTGCACTTGTCTTCACTCCTTCTAGCTTAAGGCTTGGTTGGACTAACAGGGTTATTCACGAAACTGTAAATGTTTGGAAATGTCACATTTTATGTCACAATAGCAAAGTTGAATGTTGATCTCACTTTGAATTCCTGAGAACACATGGGAATAACCGTATGTACCTTTTCTTTACTACCATTCTCTATCTATACCATTTTATAGTATTAGTGTATACAGGTAGTTCCCAACTTTACAAACTAATTGGATCTGAAGCCTAGTTCATAAAGTGAGAGTTCATAAAGTGAGAACTAATTTCCCATAGACACAATGTAATAAACATGGGTTCCTTTCCTGACCAACAAATTTTACCACTGAAAACCTAAATTTTTAAGTACAAATACAACATGAAAGCATAGCAAATACATGTATGTTGTAGGAATTGTAAAGGCATACATACCATATTGAATTCTTCATCAAATTATGATCAATCCTCATACTATTCAATGAAGAGACATGCTGCACTTGTTGAATGGGTTCACCTCTCTTAAGTCCTCCTACTTATTCATTTTCTTCATTATCAGCTCCCCCCTCTCCTTTATCACTTTTCTGTTACTCCTTTCCTTTTTACAGCTCTCAAACTTTCTTCATTCTCCCCCTTTTCAGGCTTTTCAGCCCTCCTCCAGCTCCTCACTATTGCTACCTACCAAAACATGGCACAATGGCAAACACATATACACACAGACAGCTATGTCAGACACACACAGACAAATCAAGTCAAATCACTGCTCAATAGCACACAATGCAATAATATTACAGGATCTGTAATGTATGCTCATGAAAGCACAAAATGAATACAGTATAATCTAAACCTGTTTTTTAGTCTTCCCTTTATCTTCAGAAACTGTGTTCCTGATCCTCATATCTCTTCTTGTCTACTCCTGACCACAAATTCTTCTTCTCTTCTTGTTTGTGCTCCAAAGCACTCTCCTTGGTCCTGATCCGTGGACCACTGACACAAAATGGTGGTGAAACAAAATGGTGGCGCGTCCAGAAAAAAGTTCATAAAAGGCGGTAGTTCATAAAGTGAGAAATGCCTGTACTGTGTCTATACTATTCTATTCTAAACTACCTCTAGCCCAGCTTTGGATAAACTTAAACCATTTACAGTTTTAACAGAAAATCTACAGAACAACTCTTAAAGGCATATCAAAGAATATAAACTCAAGACCATGAGAACACATCCAATTAGACTACAGATTAGAACTAGTTATGCAAGTTTTGTTTTGTTTTTTGTATGTTTGAATTATCCACTTCAAAATAATAATTTGATGTAAAAACAATGGATAGTAAAGCTTGATAAAATATTACATAAAATATGCTACAATCACTGTGTGTATCACTCCAAACACACAAGCAATAAGTAAAATATACAATAAATAATGGCGAGAGCACACAAAAAAATCAAAATTTTACCACAAATTGGATAAATAAGGTATGAATCTGCAAACAAGATAAAAAAATACACATAGGGTAATATAGTTACAACTAAATCTATGTGTAAAACAAATCGGATACACTCACATGGTTCTAAGCCAATCCACAAGCTGGCTCAGACTAAAAGCAGTATATGCTGAAGATTATGTGATTTAGTGAGGATCTGGATACTGGGTCAAAGCTTAGTTTTCTCAGTGCCGCACCAGATACCAGGATACCAGTTATGGGTGAAGAACTGCTCTACAAGCTTTATTGAACACACAATAAAAACAGATACCTTACAACTTAATAAAAAGATTGTCCACCCCCACTTAACGCGTTTCGCCTGCTTATGCTTTTCTCAAAACTGGTTCCGTTGTGAGTGTCATGTAGTCTTCCCTTTTATATCCATTTCGGCACCTTTTTGGATAATTTGATGTGCTCAATAATTCCACCCTCTTCCCTCCACCCTCCCAACCTGCAGTGCTACCCATTTTGATACAAAAGTAATGCTGTATATAATTTTGGATTTATAGTTACACTACTCACAGTAGAGGGTTAACAATCAAACGGTTTTCTTTTAAGTCTGAAATACATTTAAATTATTTCTCATTTTCCTATAGTATGAACAAAAATACCACATTTTAACAATTTGGAACCCTAGTTCCCCCTTGACACTTCCTTACTCTTTCTTCACTGTCTTTCTTCAATGAAAATAGACAAAGGGACCCAGTAGGTTTGACAACACTTAATGAGTATATGGCTGTTTTTGCACTTTAAATGTCTACCCTGCATTCCACATATATTAGAAATCTCTGAACGGGACAACATGTCTGTATAACTCTCTCTTTCTAGTTTCTTTGTTTAGATAACAGACAGACAGTGACATTTAAGGATGGCGGCTGCTAGACTTTGCCCCCTGGAATTTGACTCAGTCCTCTGACTTGTTGGTCTTTGCTCATTTAACCCCATGTGCTCATCCATTGCTACAATGAGAGATCATGCCCTGTTCAACACCATCAACATATGGATAGGCAAATTTAGAGATCTGACTCCTAGACATAATTGGTTGCACTGACTCTAAGCTGCCTCTTCAATAATGGGGGGTGGGAGGAGGAAACTGCAGACCTAAGCAAAGTACCAGTTATTTTTTAACACTTATTATTAGTCCCTATCAGTCACTATTAGTCCCTGATTTTGCTTGGTGCATCTTAAGCTGGAGCATCCACAGTATTGCTAGGAAAACAAAAAATAGACTGAACAAATCAATACACAACATAACTAATCTTAGCATTGCCAATAAATTGTATTTAACCTGTGTCAGTGCCTGGAGTGTCTGAATTTAGTAAAACGGTGACGTATGGACCAAAAATATTAATGTTTCTGTTTTTTTCTTTCCTTTCACTACAATTCAAAGTTGTGTTACTTTAAATTTGATTTATTATATATGGAGCAAAGTTATTGATATGCATTGTTGATGATAAAACATACCCTGGGTCAATGTTTCACTGTAGTTTGTTCTGGTACATCTGTTTCTCTTGTTAACTGATAAAAAAAAGTTTAAAGTACCATCTGTTGCTCTGATACAGTACCTATGAGTAAGTCCCTAGTGTAAATTACACAAGACTTCCATCGCTGTATCTTCACATTCTAGCATTACAGTATCTGTCTACATTACTCGGCTAAACATCACTACAAATCTCCGGATGTTTCAAACACAAGAAGTGTAAACAGTTTAAAGTCGCCAAATCAAAGTTAGAATCAGAGTAAGGGATGACATAATTGTAACACTAACAAAAGAGTTGTAAATTTAAAAACATACAGTCTAAATGGATTGATCAATTTTATATATATGTAAATGATAGATAGATAGATGCAAAATCGATAGATAAATAATTGATAGACAAATAGATGCGAGATTGATAGATAAATAATTGATAGACGGATAGATAGATAGAACGAACTAGATGACTGGAAATTGTGATATATTATTTATTTATATATTTCCTGGTAAGTACATTTTGCAATTTGTTTTCAATTCACTCTAATTCTGTGTTCCGTGAAGGAACCTCTAATTGTTATGATCCAGATATTTTCACTCCTTCTGTTACAAGGTTATTCACTAAGCTGTGACGTTTAAGTATTCATCAGGGGACTGCAAATTTTAGCTCAAAAGAAAAAAAGTCCCCATGTCAGCTATCATGGTGTAAAATAAGAATCCTCAACAATGTACAGTTTATTAACCCCTTAAGGACCAAACTTCTGGAATAAAAGGGAATCATGACATGTCACACATGTCATGTGTCCTTAAGGGGTTAAATAACCCTGTGAGCGTATTGTTTACCAAAAACAGTGCAGTGCTTTCAATCTTAAATTTATAATGATTTATTTTTGCAAACTCTTTGCAGCTATGTTCTATTTATTTTATTTTATTTTTAAATATGGCAAATTATAAAATCTTGCTTTTGTACTTTGTAAATCACATTCACATCTAACTTATTTTTTTTTATATTGGTTCTATCTTCGAATTAAACACCCATTGGTAATACTGCTTACCATGAGTTATCAAAGAAGCTCTGAATCAGGGCTCTTTTGCAGCTAAGCAACAGGAAAGACTAGAATCACATACAGAAAGAAACAAGGAGGGGATTCATCGCTTCAACTTTGGTTAAATGCAGTGCTAAAACATCAGCTTGTCAAATGCTACCTTATTACAGTAAATACAGCTACTAATTTATGCATTGCAGATAATATCACTGAATACACCATACATTTAGATTTCAAGTGTGTCCTAGGGTATGCATGCTATTCTTATCCAACGCAGAAATATTATACGCAAGCAAATATATGTTATTCTAACACAACAGACATGCACAGCATGCAAGTGAATTAGTATAGACAGATATACGTGTGTGTGTGTTTGTGTGGTGTGTGGTGTGTGTGTTTGTGTGCATGATACAATAAATAAAAAGATGAGCTAACAGCAGAAAAGAGCCACCAAAAATGAATAAAATGATTGAACATACACGGCATGCTGCTTGCTAACTGTTCTTACACTGTGTCACACAGGTACCTTGCTCTTTCCAACAGAAAACTTGGTCCATTCCCTGCTGTCACAATTATTTATTCGGCTCTTCAAGTTCTGTTCCTGTAAATCCATTTCGCACAAAGCACAGCATGCAGTTTAATGCCCGACATTTTGACCGGTGCGTCCTCAGAGCATTGAAATGGGAGTAAGTTTTAGGCAGGCGTTCTCCCCAATGTTAGATGTCACGGGCTGATCTGACTGCATGTTCTGGAAGGCAGAGCCTGATTTCCATTCCGGCTTAGCAGTTCTTCACTTCAATGTATTCCACAGACGCGAGGCAGCCTAGCAGCCTGTCTGAAATCCTCTTTAGAAGGACATTGAAATTCACAGGCAGTGCTGACTTCACAGGGTATTCCCATACCATACACAGTCATGCGTTTACAAACGTATTTCTCCTACTTTATTGATTACTGTCAGCAATCAGCCTCTTTTCATTCCAATTAGCACCCTTTTGCCAGCTAGACCTCTTGTTGTTCCCTGTTTGTGTCCTTCAGGCTTGTCCACTCTCATGTAATTGAAAAACATATAAGGCAAGTGTCTCTCTCACTCTCTCTCTGCTGCCTGACCCACTATCAAATTAGATTGAAAGAATTTCAGCTGAAGGATTCATTGTGCCTGCAGAATGCTACAACTTGCAAACCCACGGCCTCTGTCGGCATCTCAACTCTCTATTACATCTACTGTCAGTATAAGCATTCTGCATGCTGGAGGTTACAACAAAAACTTTTATCTCATCCTGATTAACCTGTTAGCAAGTCTGGTTATCTTGAATGGTGCTATCATTCTTAAACACATCATCCAAGTCATCTGTGTGAGCTGAGAGATTGAATCATCTGGGATTCATTCCACAATCTAAGTTTTTAATGCGATATTCCATGGTACCCTATGTATTAAGCTTAAAAGGGCACTTCTAGAGCAATAACCAGTACAGATCCTTGTTGTGATTATTGTGCAATGGGTATTCAGGTGCCATCGTCCCAGTTATATTAAAATCATTTTTGAGAATTTGGTCAAAGATTGGCTTAATTTGACCGATACTAAAGTGAATTAGCCCCAAACTTTAGGCAATAATAGGTTGAGATAGACAGGTTAGTGGCCATTGATCTGCAATGCTTACACTGCCCAGTCAGAGGAAATATTGGAATGGAATCCACATGATCAGGTCTTGGGCTGAGATTTGTGTCTAGTAATCGTTCGCTATAAAGACAAGGTATTTAATCAGTGTAGATAGGCCAGAAATGAGGTCTCGAGCCTAGTACTGTCAGAAAGCAGGATAAAGCAAATTACTTGTGTTAGGTAGGAATTTGCGTACTGTCTACTTGCATTGCTGCCATGATACATTTTAGAGGATAATGTATTATCTATATAGAACAAATAAAGTAGAAATGGCATCCAGAAGGTAATTGCAGTCCCAGTATCAAGTTATCGACATCTTATACAATACATGAAGGGCATTCGGTACCAAGCACTTTTTGAATGTTAACTTAGCATTTCTAAAAAAAAAACATGGAATGCATAAATAGCATATAATTGAAGGTTAATACAATTTTAGGTACATATTTTTCAGAGATACATAATTAAATTTATGAAGATTTGCATTGTTTAAGATCTCAATTAATTAAAGGGAGACCCCAGACCGCTAAAGCAAACATGAAGAGTGTGTCCTCTTTTTTAATATTACAAAAAATGCAGATTTCAATAGAAATGGGTTCTTTTACAAATTAACCTTGTCACACTTCTCTCGCTGTCAATCAGACAACAGGTCCTATTACTTCCTGGTTTGTTTAGCTAAACTCAAGAGGCAGCAATTGCCTAGAGCAGTGTTTCCCAACCCAGTCCTCAAGGCACACCTACCAGTCCAGGATTTAGGGATTACCCAGTTGCGTCTAAGGTGTTTTTTTTCTTCTTTGTAAAAACACCTTAGACACAACTGGGTAATCCCTAAATCCTGGAATGGTAGGTGTGCCTTGAGGACTGGGCTGGGAAACACTGGCCTAGAGCATCTGCCTTGCAAAAAAAAAAAAAAGTAATATTCTAGTTTTTGATAACATCACAGATTGAAATTTATCGACAGCCAAGTGCATTGTTGATGCTAGGAGGTTTCACTGATTATGTCCCATATGGTCATGGCAGTGAGTGTGTGTTTCATTAAGGTCTCTCTAAACAGACATTTTAACTATTGTACAATGGATTTATTATGTTATCAATTTTATTAGTTATACTTTAGTTACTTGCTTTGTCCTTAAATCAGGGTAGGTACTTTGTGTGGATTATTCTGCTCATATGCTAGCACTTAGAAATCTCTTGGGCACTGGTTAATTGTAAGAAATGTTCTTTTGAAGTCATTTGGAGGTGTTGAAATTGCTATTGCATTAGAGTGTCACTAACTCCTTTTCAGCAGAATTGTGATCTTCCAAACTTTCAGGATTAATTCTAGGTTTAGAGTCCTTTTTCAACCAATCCAATAATAGTAAATGTGTTGTCCAAAAATATTGCAATGGTGGGATTGTGATCACTTCGACACCGTTAATGGCTCGTCTGCAGCTATCAACATGGCAATAGATATCTCATATGAGATGAGAATGGAAATAATACAATTTTGCTTACAGAAAAGAAACTGGATTACCTTTGTACCAAGTCAGCATCATAAAAGTGCCTACAGAATTTAAACGCAATGTTTATGTGGGTATAATAAATGCTAATATACATTAGTACAGTTATATTAACTATTGTAGTTAATGATTACATAATATGATTAGCAATAATCCATGTTTTGTACTGATTTATATTAACCTCTCTTACTCTTCCCACCTCCGTGAGTGTTAGACTGTATGTAAAAGTTCTATCTCAGGCCTGCTTACTGTATGGGAAAATGGAAGAGAGGGCTGCCATTTCCAGTTGCCTAAATTCTATTTGTTGGGACAGAATGAAGCTATAGATAAAGCTTCTAGAGAAATTAACTAAACTCTGAATTCAGCTTCTTGACCAAAGGTGAGCATTTTCTGTTTTACTTTGCTACGACTTTGGTAGAGATGTGGTTAATAAGTATTGGGGAAATAAATAATTATAATAAAAAGATACACCTCTGAATCTTCTTTGTTTACTGTAAGTCTGCAGTTTCTATATGCCCCAGTCCATGGCTGGGATTTTTCAGCAAACAGCCATCCCATTGTTTTAAGAAGAATCTCTGCCCAGCATAAATGTATGGGATACATACTTCAATAATTGTAAATAGTGACATTCAAATATTGCAACTGGGGACAGAAATATATAACTAGCAGAAAATCTTCAGTTATCTGCATACCCCTTAAGTGTCCCACGTTAGGATCGACAGTCCCTATTTGGGGCTTAAATCCCTCTGTGCTTCTTTTCTTTCTTAAAGGGACACTATAGTCACCAGAACAACTACAACTTAAACACTGCCTTTACACATGAAATTTTACACAGGAAATCTATGGTGAAGCATTTCATTGGCTGTGATTATCAAGTTTGATGATCTCAGCCAAGAAGGCAAAGCAGCGGCAGAGCCAGCCACGAGGAGACCCACGTGGCATAGGAAAAGGTGAGTAAAACGGCGCATGGTCACATAAACGGCGCATTTAGATCTATGGTGTCATGAATACATGCTTGTCTTTCTGACACTATAGTGTTCCTTTAAGCTCCCTCTTTCGTATGAGCTTGGTATTCTTGGCATGTCTGGTTTTAATCAAGAGCTACACAGCAATAATACTCACAGTATTGTGTCTTTAAACTACAATAAATGTGTTTAGAAATCAGTCTGTGTAAATAAGATACATTGTTCTTGTTCTTAATTACCGTATATACTTGAGTATAACTCGACCCGAATATAAGTCGAGACCCCTAATTTTACCCCAAAAAACTGGGAAAACTTATTGACTCGAGTATAAGACTAGGGTGGGAAATGCAGCAGCTACTGGTAAATTTCTAAATAAAATTATATCCCCCAAAAATTATATTAATTGAATATTTATTTACAGTGTGTGTATATAATGAATGTAGTGTGTATGTGTGTATATAATGCAGAGTGTTTGTATGAATGTGGTGTGTGTATATAATGCAGTGTGTTTGTATGAATGCGGTGTGTGTGTGTGTGTGTGTATGAGTGCAGTGTGTGTGTGTGATGCAGAGTGTGTTTGTGTGTGTGATGCAGAGCCTTGGTGGGGGGTGGGTATTTTTATTTATTTTTTTAATTATTATTTTAATATTAATTTAAAATTTTTTATATTATTTTATTATTATTTAAATCTTTATTTATATTTATTTTCATCCCCCCTCCTTGCTTGTTAGCCAGGGAGGGGTGCTCTCATTCCCTGGTGGTCCAGTGGCATTGGCTGTGTAGGACGGGGGCTGGCAGCGAGCTGTAACTTACCTTTCCAGCTCCCTTCTCTCTCCTCCGGTCCGGTCAGCTCCCCTGTCAGTTCCCCTGTAAGTCTCGCGGTCTGAGTGCCGCGCGGAGCGTTGCCACGGTAACCTGTGGCAACGCTCTGACCCAGCGGCTCTCGCGAGACTTGCAGGGGAGCTGACCGAACCAGAGAAGAGAGAAGGGAGCTGACAGGAGCTGCAGGAAAGGTAAGTTACAGCTCTCTGCCAGCCCCCAACAGGACCGCGGGGCTTGTAATGAGCCCGGCGGTCCTTGTCTGTATTATGGCAATGTAAGTTGCCATAATACAGACAGTGACTCGAGTATAAGACGAGTGGGGGTTTTTCAGCAAAAATGTGCTGAAAAACTCGTCTTATACTCGAGTATATACGGTACATTAGTTCTGTGAAAACATAGTGCTTTCTTATGCTATGACATCGCAAAGTGGGCTATTGGGCATATAGCTGCTTCAGTTTGTCCACACTGCAGCAGTTAAAGAAATATTATGAAGGACAACATACATACATATATTTTAACAATAACCTATGCAAGAAGCATGAGAGGCTACAGGGCTTAAATTGCCAAAAACTAAGCGTTTGGAAAGTATAACACTATTAATTCTCTGTAGTTGCCTTGCAAATGTATAGCATCAGTACATAACCCATCCTTTTACTATACTGAAAAAAAATTAGCCTGGCCAGAGATATTCTGAAATAATGCTGCTGGATCTCTAACCACTGAGCTATCTCACTTATGTCAATAGGAATTAATCTAACAATTTAGATTCTGTTGGTGATACAGTTGAAGTGTGGTGTGGGCATAAATGCATGAAATAAGGTGGCAAATAACTTCAAGAAATCAAATTTTCAAAATTATATGCTTGATTTACTTGCCAGATGACAGAATATTGATGTACATGAGTTTAATTATACATTCGGAGGAAATAAACCTGACCCCGAATGCTGATCAGCTGATCGTTAAATTACACATTGCAAAGAGTTGTCAAAAAGTCATTGTATGCAGATTTTACTGCTCAAGACCCGGAGTAGTTATTTTTGTTTGTTTGTTTTTTTACTTTTGAGAACACATACTGAGACTTGCAGCGGTTGGTGGAGGATCATGTTCCATTAACATTTAGCTTCTCACTCACATATGGTGGGACTCGGTTAGACCTG